GGGAAGCCTTTTGGAGCAATTCATGGAAGAAAAGAGAAAGAACAAACCATGAAGCAGTTCTGTTAGATTGAAAACTTGTTTCATTGCAGACAGAGACCATATGCTGAGCTTCTCTTCCCTAATGCTGCAGGAGGAACTACAAGGCTGTCTAGACACAGCATGCTCAGCCATAAGCTGAGTGTCTTGGATACCACGAGAAGTCTAGCTGTGGGAAGACAGAGCACAGCATGGTTTAACCACTGCATATTTACCCTTCTTCTTTTAACTACAGAAAAAATGTTTTATTACTTACGCAATTGAGATGGAAAAAATGCAGCTTATTTCTGTGTCCAAATTTAATCTCAAAGAAACTGCTCTAAATGAAGCAAACTTGGGTCCATTTCTGAGTGTGAGAATTCAAGAACACAGAAGGTTATAGGCTAGCCTGTACATCTTACCTCATTTCTAAAAGGAGGACAAGCTCTGAAAATGTATCTGAAAATATCCCTTGTCTTGCTTTCACGCAGTGAAGGAGGCTGGTGGAGAGTCCATTCACTTACAACAGGACGAGAAAATTACATTCCAGGGAAATATGTAGCAAAGGTTTATCACGGGTAAGTAAATGCATTTCACATAACAACTCAACACTAATTTTTGTACATTTACTACACTGATTAAAGTTATTCAGTGTCATAATTAACAACATCAAGAATAACTAGAAAGAAATTTTATTTATTGATATCCTGATATAATTCCTCAGTTCTCTTGAAATCTGACATCAATTGACATCTAAGTTTAGAATATTTTCAAATGAAAAACAGTTTTAAATAATTGCAAGGGTCAAAAAACTTTTGATTTCACATGAGATAATTAAAATACTTCTATTGTGAGGACTGATCTTTAATTCTAAGATCTCAAGAAAGTGATCTGGTTGAGAAATAACTTTTCACAAAGAGTAAAATGGAAGTCCTATTAGTTCACGAAAAAAAACAAAAACAAACAACCCACAAACAAATAAGAAAGACGAATAAGTCATTCAATGAAACAGCTAAGGAATATTCAGAGCTCTCTTGTTGCCCTAGACAACAGTCAGGAAGAAAACATTGAAGCATACACTTAAGGTTTTTCTAGAAAAAGTGTTTTAACACCTGTTTAATCTTAAGCATACGAACTATGAACTTAATTGGGATTTATGCAAGTGCTTAAATTTTAATATCTTCTATACCCTCTTGAAACAGAGATGCTTTTCAAAATGTGAGGCACAGACAGGCACTTTCCATTACCATGTTTGAAGTTTCCCCAAGACAGGATCAAACACATAAGAATAACATTACTTTAAAGTACCAGTGACTCCTACACTAGTACAGCAAGCTCAGCTGTATCATTACTGACTAACTGTAGAAAAATACTGTGTCAGGTTATCAGGAGAATTGGTGATGACGCTTTCCCTTATTCAAAAAAGCAATTAATCTAAAAGACTGGACTGTTCCCTAGCGTAAGGTGAATCATTTCATTTGGGGTGTATTCCCTGTACAGTAAAATGCAATCTGTGTTAACAAAAGTTGCTTAAACAGAGAAGGAGGGACTAACTAAAGCATCTCAAATGCCACATGGATATGTCCTTGGGAATCCAGATAATGGTAGCTTGAAAAGTTTTGTTTGCCCTAGTAAGTCCAAGACTTCTTTGTTCTTCTCTTCATCTCACAAAAGCTATTTTAACTCAGTGTGTGAAAATGGAGAACAAGATTTTCTCCATAAACTGAAAAATATGCCTGGATGTAGTTTAGAGAATAACTGCAGTTGTTTTTGCAGTCACTTTCCTGGCTAATGCTCTACTTTCACGACCACATGCTGCTCTGTTTCACTGGTGTCCAAATTTCAGAATTTGTTTTTTCATCCTTCACAGCTGGCTATTTGAAGGGCTGGGGAGAGAGAAAGCAGAGGAACTTCTACAGCTCCCCAACACCAAGGTCGGCTCCTTCATGATCAGAGAGAGTGAGACTAGGAAAGGTGAGGAATATTTTTTTCCCTTTGATCTCAGGCATGAATAGTTTAACAAGCCTTAATTCTCTCCCTATCCCGCTCCATGTAGATAACCTCAAAACCTGAAAATGTATGTAATGAGAAGAAAAAGGCACCCAGTGCAGCATTCCAGTCCTCACTGGTCACCTACACTGAACAGTGCTGAAAACAAGGTTAACCATGGCCTTGGAAGGTCCCACAGGCACCAGCATAAACAAGACACAGTTGTTTAAACATTATTATTCACTTTGGTCACATGTAAAACTTATTAGGCAGTGAGAATTTTCGAGCAGAGGAAATGTTGTAGCTTTGCCCTGGTCTACAAACAAGTGGCTGAGGAAGTCATAAAATACATACAAAGCAGAAAGGATGATGGATAATAAGGTTCCCCGTGTAAGCAGGTAGCTCTTTCATATAATTCCCAAAAATTATGTCTTCATTTTCTTCACCATTATTCCATTCGTTTTTCTAAACTACTGACTTGAAACTATTCCATCTTCCTAAGAAATTTATTAACTTGATTTCCCACCTCTCATCACACTTTTTCTTTGCTAATATATCAATTTTCAGCATAAGCCAACAGAATTTTAACTGTGTTGGTATATAGGAATTATAATGTTCACATTTCACTATTTTTTTCAATGGGAATACATCTCCCATTGTCCACTGTGATGTCTTCCACTTTTATAAAGCACTGAAACACACCCAAATTTAATAATAGTACAGTTAGAAAGGAACACTAAATCATCAGTTCTGACCACTTGTATACCACAAGTGAATTAGTTTCATGCAACACCAACACAAATTTCAAAGAAATTCAGGATATATGTTAAGTCCATATGAACTAAATGCAACATAATAGTTTTAAACAAACAGAAAAATCCAGTTGTAATCTCCTGCCAGGACCACATTAACAGGTACTAGCTACTGCATTGCTGGAAGCTAATTAAACCAGGTGATCAAAATCAGGAGCCCAGCAAATGAGTCTGGTCCTTGTGTTCAGGGAAAGGCAAACAACTTCTGCGAAGGCCTGTTTCCCTTACATCAATTCAAAAAATACTTCATCAGTAAATGTAAAAGAAAAACACATCAGAAATTTAGAATCAATCAAAATCCAAGTCCTGAATTCTGGACACTTTATTCTATTTGTTATACTTAAAGAAAATTAGGACAGACAATCAGTTTTATAAAAACTTTGTGGGACCTTTTCAAACACTCTACCGTTGGGGTCTCAGCTATCCCTGCAGAATTAGGACTCGAAATTGTAATCAGTCCTCTTGTTTCTCCAGGATTATATTCCTTGTCAGTGCGGCACAGGGAGGTGAAACATTACAGGATCTTCCGCCTTCCAAATAACTGGTATTACATCTCTCCACGGCAAACCTTTCAGTGCCTCGAAGACCTTGTGAATCACTACTCAGGTAAATACAATAGCAACAGCAGAATAAACCTATTTTCCACTAGCAACTGTAAAACTCTGTATCAAAGGTCCAGAACAAGAGGTTTTCCCTATGTCCAAGACTTGAAACTGCTACCACAGAACAACTAGCAGAAAAATGATTGGTTTATATCTTCCACCTTATTTTTGATCCTGAAGATAAGTTAGCTACTGCTGACAGTACAATGGAAATCAACCTGAGAACACAACAAGATACAGATACAGAACCTGCTTTAACCACAATTTTCCAGATTTATGGCAATTTAACCTGTGTTGAAGAGATGACATGACAAGCAGCACAATTAAGTGACTGCAGTTATGGTGCATTAAAATAAGTTTTAAAGTGAAAGAGAAAGGAGAATTGAAATAAAATAGTTGCATAAAAGTTACAAGAAAATGACAGGTTCTGGGCTTTAATTAGTAACGGGTACGAAGTATAAAGCCACAGTATTTGCATATTTCATGGGTAAATGAAAAAGGGTATTCTGATAAACTGGAAAAAAAAACACCTCACTTTCAAAACATTCAAGTCCAATGATATACGTGAGTGAGAATTTAAACAGGGTAATATTTTTCTTTACATTTTAGTTATCTGGCATCTTTCCCTGTTTAGAAAGAAGAAAACAATCAAACCCAAACATTCTGAAAAATAATTATAACAACTTGAGTTATAAACTAAGAGTGGACATAATGCAATTTAGCTCTTCTCCTTGCCCCCTACATGAGATATTTTAGTATCTCACTCTGAAGAAAAACAGGTTATCCCTAACAGTGCAACTGAAATCAACCCAAGAATTCAAGATAAGTACAGATAGGCTTTGCTGAAATAAAGCTCAGAGGTCTAAAACATCAACATTATCAATGACAAAGAACATATGCCTTGTTTGTAGGGGAGCAAAGAGGAGGCAATGGAGAAAAAAAAAAAGAGGTGAAAGCTATCTGAATGCAATATGAACATGCAAATCTTGAGTCATTCCAAGCAGAATAGGTGCAAACACAATCCAGTCTGAGTGGTTGTGTCTTGTATCTATTTTTTACTAAGTTTGCATGGCTGAGAGGATGGAAAGCAAAAGCAGAACTCACTAGAGACTCAGGAAACTTGGCTTTAAGTCTCTGATCTGCCATAAAATTCCTTCTAGATTTTTGGAAAATCACTTTCTCTATTTCTTAGTTCCTCACTCATACTATGGGAAACATACCCCTTGATAAATTAAAAAGCAAACATACAAGGAAAAGAAGATAAGCCTGTGTCATTGTGTCCTTGCTGAGAAAACAGTGATGGATTAACTTCATGTGTCTTCATTCCCGTCTTCAGAAGTTGCTGATGGTCTCTGCTGTGTCCTTACAACACCCTGCCTTACCCAGTGCACTAACAACCACAGCGTAATGAATCAAGTTCCTCCTGTGGTGATGCGGAATAAAAACTTCAACTGGAGAAGCATTCACAGGTACCACAAGCAACACAAGCTGCCACAAATAACAAATCATTTTTCCAGTCTTACATGTACTCTCACTTACAATACAGGAGAAACAGCCATTTGCTTCTCCTGAGGCTAGTTTTAAATCTTCTAAGCTGCTGACAGCATGTGAACCCAGGAGAACTAGATGTCCAGCTCTCTAACTGCTAATCTTAGTACTTTAACCTGCAAAAATATAGTTACAGCATTAAATCATTTCTTCTACCCAGCCAGCAGCACAGTTGCATATGTCCACTGGGACTCATGAGCCCTCTCTGCCATGGGGGAAGAAGTAAGAGACAGGGCATAACCCATGCTCAGGCCCACTGCTAGTAGCATATGAGCCCCTGTAATCAGAAATGGTTACACCTTGTTCACGGCAGTCACCACAAAGCGATGTACACAAGTATAGTGTACACACTGTCCCAGCTTAAATCTTGGATCCTGTTTCCTCTCATTCAATATATAGTCCAGCTGAAGGTCCATAAGATTTTGAATGCCTTGACTGCACATAGAGAAAGTAGGCTGGGTTTCAGAAGCTGGAGAAGCAACCACCTTCATAAACAAAACTGCCTCTTATTTCTCAGGGATAAACTTTCCAACAATACCCTTCCTTCACAAAGTACTTTCATTTGCTTACAAATACAAGACAATTTTGTGCTGTATTGAAGCCCACCTTTTTTCTTACAGATAAGGAGAGAATGTATAGGGAGATTATTTCCTTTTAAAATGCTCAAAAAAAGATACTACTGTTGTACTGTCATAGAAAATCACTACAAGACAGAAACATTTGGTGATTAATAAGATGGAATTTTTTTGTGAAATAAAATTAACATTGTTTGGCTTAATGACTGTTGATACTAGACTCAGTTTAAGTAGTTGGAATGGTAACAACACTTCATTTTTTTAAAGGATGGAGATAACTGGAGATACGGAAGGCACACTGGCAGCAATAGATGACTCCTGTCTCAGCTATGGCCTGAGGGAAAGCATTGCTTCCTACCTTTCCTTGACAGGGGATGACAGCTCTTCTTTTGTGAGTGCCAGAAAGAAGAAAGCACAGTCTCTTATATACACAGGGAGCAAGCATAAGAGTACCCTTCACTTGCCACCTACATATTATGAAGACTGACTCTGAGACAGCAAAGGGAAAAATGGAAGCTGAGTGCTTAGAAAAAATTGCAGACCATCCTGTGGTCCTGCAGTACTTCAACAGCTGAGAGACAATGCACACCAGCTGGTGATAAAACTCTGACTGTGCTTCTGCATTTCCTCATCTGAAGCTTAACCACAGACCTTTGTGAGGGTACTATCTCATGCCATATTCTGGAATTGTGCTGTGTGCACCTGAAATTAGAAACTGCTCACTAACAAGATAAACTGAGGCACCCTAAGCCAAGAATTAAGTGAGGCAGAGGATTCTTCAGTAAGGATGATGCCCACCATTATACAAAGGTGACTGGATATGAAAAGACTAACTGCAGCTTGAGACTGTAAATTAAAGTCTTAGTCTAGTCTTACTCTCCACAAGGCTGAAAATCATGTTTACAGAATCTGCCTACTCTGAGAGAAAGAGCCTTTTTTACTCTCCGTACATACTCGTCATTACCGGTGAGTTGGAAAGCCTCCAAGAAAATATCAAGTAATTGTCATCCAAGAGACACCTCGTTATATTGACTGTACACATCTGTTAATTCTACCTTCGGGGAAAAAAAAAATAACGTCATTGACTTTCCAAGAGGCTTTTAATTCACTTGGGTGCAATGGCCTGTAGTGTCACTGAAAGATCACAAAACGAAGACCAGGCTTAACTCAATGAGAAGTTCTTGCTAAGGCCTGATATGGAAGAACAGGCATATCCAAAAGCAGAACCTAACTACTCTTAATCCAGTGGATATTCATCAGAGAACCAAGTGGGTGTTTTTTAAAATGAAAAGTAAAATATTGTAATATAATGCCTAACTGCAAAGGTAGGCTGGCAAAGGAGTGACCTTTGAGTAAAGGACAGAACTTGAACCTCATCTCCTGAAGGCACACCATATTTATGTATAATATTTATATTAATATCAGCTTTTAAATAATTAAACTAATAGAAAAAATCAGAAACAGTGGATGTTGAAAAGTTTTCTGAACGTCTTGTCTGAAGTATTATGTAAAATTGCTTTACAATTTCATAAAGCAACTGGGTTGTTTTAAATATCACAGACTAGAGAATTTTTCAATGTGTATGTACCCTTGCCAAATTAAAATGAAGCCTGATAGTGACAGATCAAGGGGGAATGGATTTAAAATAAAAGATGGTAGATTTAGTTTAGATATTAGGAAAAAATTCTTTATTCCGAGGATGGTGAGGCACTGGCACAGGCTACCCAGAGACGCTGTAGATGCCCCATTCCTGAAGGCACTCAGGGCCAGGTTGAGTGGGGCCCTGGGCAGCCTGAGCTGGTGGATGGCAATCCTGCCTACAGCAGGGAGTTGGAACTGGGTGATCTTTGAGGTCCCTTCCAACCTAAGACACTCTATGATCCAATCAGATTACCTGGTCCTTGGAACTTGACTTGTGTTTACTGTGTAAATTATGTAGTCACATCTGGGGACATAAGATGCTGCAATTTATGTACTTGAGTGGGCATCTTTTCAATCTAATCCGCTGCTGTACTCTTTTTTCTTTGTTCTTTTTTTTGGAGGGAGTGTGAAGCGGGGTGCAGATTTGAGTTTAGAGATAGAGGGAATTGAATGCATTTCCTCTGTAAATATCTCTTGGAACATATACTATATCTACTATAGTCTATATCTAGTATACATCTACTATATCTATATATGCATCTACTATATTATAGTAGATAATTTGCACTAGAAAGAGAGCAAGAGAAAGTCAGAGAAAAAAATAGCATAAACATACTTCAGAACTTTAAAGGTGAATGTAGTTTGGCTGATAAACCTTGAATAAAAGCTTTGAACAAAAAGCAAAATGAACTCATGTACTTTAGATGTTTATATATTCTCATCATTACTGTTAGTAATATAGTGATATTATTTTTTTATTGTGTCAACTGTATTGTAACCAGTGAAATGTATATTGGGGAGCATTACAGATTTCTAAGTTGTGACTCACATTCATTAAAATAACACCCAGGAATTACTTTGTATTGCTTTAAAAGATTGAAAAGCTGGCAAACAACTATTACAAGCACCTAGTCTTACAGTGATATGTCTAGATGTTATCTTTGACACAGCACAACAAGAAATCCAAGAATTCATGCAACCTGGAAAACACTTCAGTCTCCACTCTGCAGAAAGGGCTAAGACATGCTCTGATGAGGACAGGCACAGAAACTCACAGAATGGCTGAGGTTGGAAGGTCCTCTGGGTCCATCTGGCCCAATCCTGCTCAAGCAGGGACACCCATAGAAGTGCTTCCTTGTGTTCGGAAGGAACCTCCTGTGCTCCAGTTTGTGGCCATTGTGTCTTGTCTTGGCAGAGATGCTCCAGTCCCTTAATAATTTTTGTGGCCTTTCAACTGAAATCTCTCTAGTAGTTCTCTGATACTGTGGGCCCCAAACTAGATGCAGCACTCCATCGATATTAACTAGATTTTCTGGCTAGAAGTAAGTAGATTAATTGTGTAATCCTTGGTGTTATGCACACAACCTAGATATGTGTCTAGTTGCACATTTGCAATTTCTCCATGATGACTATTTATAGGATCACATTGTACAGGATAGACAGTGTTGGGGAAAAAACAATCTCCAGGCTGCTAGGACAGTACACTTTTGTTACCTTCCTCTCCAGACTATGGTTTGAGGTATACATGAGTAAAGTTGCAGGAAGGATGGAACTTGGATGAATCTTCCTAGCAGGTAAGTCATCTGTGTACTAATAATTAAAAAGAAATGGAAGGCACCCTGAAGTTTCTCTACTCTCCTACTCTAGAAAGGACTAATGTCACTTAGCACAATCCTGACACGCTTTTAGTTTGTTTCTAAAAGCCACCAAAAATACACAGCTTTCCCCTGCTTCAGGCAATTCCAAACCCTCCTGGCTGCACAGTGGAATCTTGCAGCCAGCAACTGGTTGGAAAGTTAGAAGAAAGTCTCTAGTCACCCACTTTTAATCAATGACAAACACAGTGGCATCACTCCATGGCTTCAGCAACTGTAATCTAAACTGGAGTTACAGGCAGATGACTGGGCTTCTGCCCTGGCCACGCATTAATGTATCTATAAGTAATATGATTAAATATGGCATGTGGCATGGGAAACTGCTGGGTTTAAATAACACATAAAGTGAGAGGGTGACAGAAGCTCTGAATTGAGAGCACGTGAATGGAAAAGACTGTGTTAACTGGAGCCTGGTAGTAGATGGATCTTCGGGAATCAGGCAGCTTCTCCCTATTTTCAGACAAGACATATGCTTCCAAATGCTTCCAAGTCCTACAGTTAAGTCAACAGACCTCTTCTTACATAAAATTGCATTGGTATATAACTCAATTAATCAAAAGATGACATCAAAAAGTATTAATGCACTTAATTTGATTTAAAATAGAACACTAGTCATTAAGATTTAATATATTTTTTTAATATCATACTAGTGAAATGAATTATAAGAAAGAGTCATCCTGACAGTTTTGCATTGATTTTGTACAGTCTGTTTTCAAATTGCTTCAAAACAAAACCTATTACAGGACAGACAGAGGAAACTCAAAAGCACTTTGCACACCCATAGAAAAATATTACTGCTTAATGGGATTTCCCTCTGGAAATCTGTTATATATATAATCAGTTTCATGGTTCGTTGTCTGTGTGCAGCTCCTTTTTTTTATAATGAAATTAGAAAATTTTGTCATCTTATAGAAAAAAACAAGACACATTCCTTTACAGGAGATATATCAGAGAAATCTGAATAAATCAAAAGTCTTATGTTGCATACCTACTTTACAAAAAAAAAAAAAAAAAAAAAAAAAAAAAGATGCAGTAGAACTTTGAGCCACTGCTATTAATGTTGATTTTTTGCTTTGACAAAATTAAAATTAAGTCCACCATGGCACTGTATGAAGTATTTCACAATACTATTTTGAAATAAATGAATTATCGTGCTTTTGCTGGGGCAAAAGTAAGGTGTTCATGGTCTTGGGAAGAAAATTGCTGTTACAGACATTAAATCAGTGGGAAGAATTGACACATCTGGTGCTCATTGCATTTTCCACTGTTTTCCACTTTTCAATTATCCACTTTTCAATATTTCAACAAGCAGTTCAATATTCATTTTATAAAAGACCAAAAAGATGCAGTGTGGAACCAGACTCCAGCAACAGCGATAAACCAAGATGCACTTTCACTTCCCTTTCATCAGTTGCTCAACTGGTAAATTGCACTGTATCCTGTTACAGCTCTCAACAGGGCCACATCCTATCCTGATTCAGAAAAGTGTGTTTGACTTCAGAGAAAGAGTAGGATGGAACTGTATTGTGGGAGAAGAGGACTCTGCTGGCAAATTACCTTCTGTGTCAAAAGACGAGTAAAAATCTGTGAATTGTGTTAGGAATTATCTGAGAACGTCCTTAAAAAAATACAGCTCGTGAACAGTAATTTTCAACAATTTCCCTTGTCTTCTGTGCTAGGGTTATACAATTAAAATGGTCTTACTGAGATATGGAGATGCACAAGGCAAGTTATACTTTTTGGCAAAAAAAGAAGAGAAATCAAGTAACAAATAGAGACTTCATTATTTTCAAGGCAAGCTTTTAATAAATTGGGCCCCAGGTTTCCTGGGCTAAGTTCCTCTGCACACATTTCCAAGCATATAAAAGTCCACTGAAGATTAAGCCTCATTTCACAGCACAGTACTCTTATTTGAGGCTGTGAAGATCAGTGGTAGTATTGAGGCTGACAAAACTGGCCTGAAGTCCTGAAATTCAGCATAGGAAGGGCAGTAAGCACAGAGAACAGCTGAGGTGATGGCGAAAAAAATCCAAGCTGACAAGCAAACAGATTTTGGAGGCTTTGAAACTTGATTTTCTTTTAAGTGAAATTGTTAATCTGTCACGAGATCAGATAAAGACCGGATTCTTCAAACATGCGGATGTTTGGCTCATCATTTCTAGAGTCTAAAAACTGCTGATCAATAACTGTATTTATGGAATGGAAACTAACCTGTTGTCCTTATAAATTATGAAAGAAAACTATTTATATAACACAAAAAAACCACAGTGACGAGAAAAAGATTCTTAGTATGACTAAATCAATCACCAAATTACATCTCTTGTACATCCTTGTGAAACACCTAACTCTGGAGATAGCAATCACAGGTGAGAAGAAAAATAACTACAGCAATAACAGTTATATTTGTACTGCAAAAGACATGGATGAAATAAAACCAGCACCCACACACACGTCACAAAATTGTTTCAAAATGAATCTGAAACAGCAGGAATGTGACTTACCATCAATAACACCCTCCTGAAGAGACCCATATTGATTGCCTCTGTCAGCAGGTGAATGCTAGCAATGTCTGCACCACCACGATCAGCTCCTACAGTCACCTGGCTTGGATCTCCACCAAAGCTACCAATGTTCTGCTGCACCCACTTCAGAGCTGCCAGCTGATCCAAAAGGCCTGCATTTCCACTTGCCTCAGAAGAGCCTGTCGTGGGAAATAAATAAATCAGTTGGGAAAAAAAAAATAATAATAAAATGAAAAAAAAAAACCAACAACTAAAAACATTTGAATTTTTGTTAACTGCTACAACCCAGGTATCAACAATTCACATTACCAAAAAAGGTTAATAATTCACTATCTACTTCATTTTATTTCACAATGAGCCATTTATTTTTAATGATTTAAAATTCTCCACATTCAAAACTAGAAAAAATTCAACGGAAGAAAAGCCAGGAATAGAAACATAGCTGAAATTATCTGTTTATTCCATTGCCAAGATCAAATAGTCTACTTTTAAAGAGCAAACTTGGAAACTAGGGAAGGAAATGAACAGGCAGTGGAATAAAAAGCTGTCACTCTGTGGACCTGTCTCAGGCAAAGAGCGATTGAATGCATACACTGTGTAGTAGATATCTGCATGCCTTCCGTAATGAAGTACTGAGATACCACAGCTGGTTTAAGTAGCAGAACAGAATGTAGTGGAGGCCAGATTACTGATAGCCTTGCTGATCATAAAGATACTCACAGCACAACAGCCATCACTGTAATTCTCCTTTCAGAAGTACAGCAAATAACTAAATATATGGCTCTGGAAATTACAAACTTTTCCTATAGCCATAGCTTCAGCTGATCAGGTCAAGCCACTAGAGTGAAGCAATGGCAATAAATACTCTCTGGACTGTTTTAAGAA